CTTGAGCTGAACAGGAGTGGAAATGACCACAACTTAAGCGCAGCGATTGAAACGATAAATCAAGTGCAGCTCAAAGTTGAATTGGCTGCACAAGTTTGCAATGAAAACAAAGAGCGATGGTTGGCCTAAGAGTGTGCGCCCTTAAGATATCCTGGAATAAAAGCTGAACAATCTAGAAGTAGCTACAGAGGTGTAGCCGAATAACAGATACTCGAAAGCCTTTGCTTGGGTATATTTAGAAAGTCAAGATCTGAATCAACAAACTTTTAAGCTGAAGCCATGTTTGTAATATATTTATTATATTCTTTTTCATATAGGAAAAGAAACAAATTGACTGCCTCTGATATATGTATAAATGTTCTATATATATAGTTTTCCCTGTTAAGTTTATGTACAATTTCCAGCTTTGGTCTGTTAAAAGATAATACTCAGTGAAAGATTTACAGCTCGACACACAAGGCTCTGACTACCTCTGCTTGACTTTTATGGCTTTATTTTTAAACTTGCCAACATCTTTCAACTACCTCTTACACAGATTTGTACAGAACCAATATACCCCCATCAATATGCTTCAAGTGAGTCTAGGGTTTCTTAACAAGTCTGCAAGTGAAATATCAATGGAAACGTTTGCCACTTGGATTTTTGCTCTAAAAAAAACTATAAAATACAGCAGCTGCTGAAACAACATTTAAGTATATTGGAGTTAGATTATATAGACACATAAAATAGGGCGTGGCTAAACATTTTTGAAGTTTTACTTAAACAAAAAATCTAGCGCATTTTTTGTGCATGAAAATATTCACGACTTGTAATATCTTCTGCAGCACAAAGCGCAACCTTTAATAATAATGGGACCCAAAGAATTTTTAGGAAAATATTCAGAGTTAAATTCTTGACTGGAAAAACTAAACTTACAGAGTTTCACAAGAAAATTCCTAACATAAACAGTTGAAACACACTTCAACGTCAACATAAACATAATAAATAAATCTTTTGTGGGCTGACTATACGTTATTTTCATTCCCGCAGCAACTGTGATTGACTGTTGAATCAGTTAAGGGAGCTTCAGCTCGAATGTCTGAGCAATCTTAGCATAATTGCAGCCACTTGGCAAACATCCAAATTGCGTTGTTTTCTCCCGTTTTCCAGCAAATCGTTTCCTTAATTGGCAACAGCTACTGATTTATGCTGAAGACATACTTATATATATATATATATATATATATATATATATATATATATATATATATATATATTTATATATGTGAGCAGTCATATGTATATATGTATATATCTGGTTCAATCTATTTTAAATGTAAATTTGCTCAACGAACTGGCAACAGCTGAGCTGTGCTCAGAGAGCTGCCAACTAGAAAGTCCAGACCCTTTTCGGTTATACGACTTTCAGGGGAAAGCTATTTTCTATTGTCTGCCATGATATATGCATATAAGCACATATAAATTATAATGCCGCACACACATCTACTTATCTATGCGAATGTTAAATGCATGGCAAAAAAAGGGAACCCAACGTGCTGCTTTAAAAACTATTTCTGTGTTAAATATTCCCATCTTACTGGAAATAAGCTTAAAGCATTGAAATCTCTGTTGTCATATTTATGAATGCTTCGCCCATGGACAATGCAAAGTCTATTCATATTTGACTATTGAATATTTGATAGAAATGGAAATTCATTCAGCATTATGACACTTTTCCTACAGCGAAAAATCACAAGTGATTTTATATAAAGTGGAAATTTTTGTTGTATGGAATTTAAATATCTATATCACTCAACAATTCACATTTTAAAGAAGATATAGGCAAACGAATTTTCGCAAGCTGCGAGCAAATGCCAGCTTACTTGATGTATGGAAATGTTAAGTGAATTTAACATAGGTTGCCAAACTGTTACTTAACTTAACATTCACAAGTAGAGCTATGTCAAAGTCAATAACAGTGATAATCAGTTAAAAATAGCAGTTTAACATAAAGATTTGTACCTGAATCTTCTCAATTCAGCATAGAGCACACACACATTATTTATATTAAATAGACTATATGTACTCCTTCAATTATCAATTTTAGTCTTTTCAAGCTTGAACAAGTTTGAATGACAATTTTTTTCATTGACGCTTTGACCTAAATTTACATGAATTTCTGAGAACTAAAATAAAAACTTATCCAGCAAAATATGATTTATTGAATTTTCTGAGCAGATGCCCTGTACCTCCCTGCTTCCAACACTGCCTCAGTAAGTCTGCTTTATGAATTTTCTTATTCAAAAGATACTTTGACATCTCTATCAATTAAATCTAGCAAGAAAATCTTTCTGCTTGCATTTTGAATGCATTTGCATAAAGGCAGCTCAAGACTATTTATTATATTATATATTTTATATACATTCAAATAAGTCGGCACACTTTGCACGGCTTGTATTTCAATGAATTTGCATTCACTTTGAACAACATTTGCAATTTACTGTGAATAAACAATTGTTAATTGAATCGCACATCATTAACCAATTTGCACAGCTGAAATATCACAAATATTTGTCATTGAACATTTATATAATGGGCATGAATCATTTTGGTTATGCAGACATAATGAATTTTTAAATATGTTTATGGATTCAGTTTACATTTCTGTTATTTCCCTTTTATCTCCGATTATTATTTTTTTTACCTATTTGCCTATTTGCAAATATTCGCTGTATTTGGCTCGTAAGCTATGCATAATTAATTGTCAAGTATTTCAATTGGACGCTTTATCCGCTGCCCCACAGCCACGCCCCCCCTCTGGGCCTAACCATAACCAAAATGCAGAGCATACAGTCCATTATTGAACGAATGCCAAACAATTCGAAATGTGTGAAATGCGCGTTATTTGCTTTTCAAGTCTGCAAACAGACAGTAAATATATATTTAGCGCTTAGCTTACAATAGGCATACAATGGGCGAAATGCCAACAATTTGTGACAAAATGTGATACTGAGATAATTAGCAAATTTATTCGAAATTGACATTAAGTGGCGAAGTTCTTTCATTTGAATAGCCCAAATGAGAAAGGAATGCACGTACCTTAGTGCACTATGTTAATAGAATGAATGTTATATCAACAACTGTTAGAGTACAGTTAACAGGATTGTATGCTACTACATAGCAGCGTATGTACGCAGCAGTTAGAGATAGATAGATACCGAGAGAGAGAAAAAGAGTGAGAAGAAGTGTGTGAGAGAGAGACAGAGAGATAGAATCACCTCAAATTGAGAGAATTGCCAACTGTTGAAATATTTATGTCTAACTCTATTCTTACATAATTTCCAGGCTTATCAGCCTAATATAGTAGAAATATGCAGCCTATAATAATGAGGAAGAATACCATAATTAATATATAATTTATATATATATATAAATCGTATACCCAAAATCCCATTCAAGGCTACGATAAATCAGTCTTCACTCACACAACACAGAAGGCTGAGAAGTTCTATAAATAGACGGCTGTTAGGAACATTCTGTTATGTCTGTTCACTGTTAACAAAAACAGAACCTTTCGCTCAATCGTGATGTCTGTTAAAGATAACATTCTGCTAAGATATATTAATGCATAATGGATATCTATATATATCTTAATATTCAATTTTTACAACAGTTTATTAATTATTGTTCCCATGATGCATTCCCCACATATTTGCACACAGTTATAATTGCATATAAATATGTTTGTATATACATATAACTGTTTATTTGCATAGATAAGATCAACAGTGTTGTAAGCATCCAGCTTACAGCGTATATATGTATGTATATACATATATATTTTGCATATATTGATACAATAGATATTCGCATAATTTGCCACAGGAATCAAAGTCAGAGATATGAAACGCGCATAATTGAAGGCAAATAAAATTCGAGTCAATTTGCAACAGTTTGGCGGAACACAAATAATGCTAATGGCTAGATGATAGATAGTATAAAAGAATATAAAATCTCAGTTTTTTTTTATTACTTACTTATTGTTGTAGAGAGTGAAGAATATTGGTTAAATTCGAATTCAAATAGAATACAAAATGTACAAATTGCATTGCTATGTGTGTGCGAAGGAGAAAATTCATTGTTAAATGAAAGTAGAAATTGCGTCTAAAAATGGCAATGGACCGTAAAGCCTTTAACTTGCAGAAAAACAAAAAAAAAATCAAATAAAAAACGTACATATATATGTGAAAAATGATTTTGCATAGAAATTGTGTATGTGTATCTGCTGTGTGTGTGTGTAAGAATGAGCATGAAATGCTATTTATATTGTTCAATATTTAAGTCAAGAAATGTAAAAGAAGAAAAACAAAAAAGAAAATGTTTGTAAAAAAGTGACGTGACGCATGACTTGGTGCAAATTTTCTTGAGTGTGTTAAGAGTGTTGTGTGTGTGTGTGTGTATGACTGTGCGTGTGCGTGTATATATAGCATATATATGTATGTATATGTATATGTATATTTACTGTTGTACATTACAATTTTAGGTTCCATGCTGGATTTGTGCGTCTTCGTTGATTTCATTGGCTGCGCCTGGCAAACTCAATTCACGTTTCGTTTGTGTTTTTATTTTGTTTTATTAATTACTGTGTTATCGATTTCGATAACAATGCGATGTCGATGACGCCTTTTGATATGCTGCCCATTCAAGTTGCTGTTGTTTTTCTTTTCTCGAGCCGCTGTTGATATTTGATTACGAATTTAACGGCTGTTTTTTCGGCACTTCATTTCACAATTCAATATATTTTTAGCGTTATTTGTTTATTTCTGAATTTGTTGTTGCTTTTGGTATTTTTTTTCCCAGTTCAGACGAAACCGTTGAATTTATTTGATTTACTGCTTCTCTTTATTTTGCGTGTGTTTTTGTTCCTTTGATTTTTTTTTATGTTGTAATTAAGTTACAAAAATGTTTGATTTTTGGTGTTTTTTGTTACTTCATTTTTATTTTAAGTTCAATTGAATTGATTTTGTTTGTTTTTATTTTATATTATGTACTAATAAAATGCATGTAAGTCAGTCCGTCGTTTCACAAATTGTTTGCCGTTGAGCTGTGAATGTAATTTATATACATACACACACATTCATATATATAATAGATATGCCATATATATGTATATGTGTATATGAAACTGTTGGACAGGCACTCAGAACAAACCCCTCAGCAATTAGCAACAATTTAGCAACTCAATTGTTGCAGTTAGCCAAAGTTGCCTTAACAATTGCCACACACACACACACACACACACACACACATGCTCTCACACACACACACACACCCACACTAACACACAGCTTGCATTTGGCATGGCATATTGCTCGCTTCCTGCCTAGCTGTTGGCGTCTTTTGGTCTTTGGCTCTGTTGCAGCTGCATTTGCCACGCCTACCAAATTGCTCAAGCCATTAAGCACGCTGCACACACATACAATTCGACTCACACACATCTTCACACATACATTCAAACGCACTGCACTTGATGCTCGGCCATTAATTTTTGTTGTTGTTGTTTGCTTATTTGCTTTTGGGGCAACGTGAGATTTTGTTGGCTTGAGTTTCCTTCGAATGCGTATTTATTATTTTGCTCCTCGTCCAAGGCGTTTCACAGCGCTCGGCGCTCAGAGGAAAAGACAACTTGATCACAGCATGGAAAATGTTCAACTGACCGAAGCGCGAGCCTGCTGCCACGCTTAGCCAAACGCTGTGGCAGCAGCAGCAGCAGCAGCAGCAGAAGCAGCAGCAGCAGCAGCGAGCAGCAGAGGCCGTGGCAGCAAACGTTGGCTTTATCAGTTCGTCGTGCTCGTGCGGAGGCGCCACCTCGTATAAGCTCGTTTAGCTCGGGTTTCGGCTTCATTTCCTTTTTTCCTTTTTTTGTTCATCGTTCATTTTTGTTTGGCTTTTTCGCTCGTGCTCGGCTTTTCACTCGTTCGCCTCGCTGTGGCAAGCAACATGTTGGACTCTGGCGCAGCATCCTTGGGTGTTGCCTCGACACAAGCCACAGCGATACGCTCAATGCGTGGCGTCACGTGTTGCACGCTTGGAGTGAAATTTTATGGGCAGAGCTTTCACTCAATGCGCTGCCAGCTTGCATTTGTTTATACGCTCGCTGCTAATGTGACGACTGGCCACGCCCGCCGCCCTGCACACCCGGCCGCAGCCACGCATAACGGAAATTATGCATACATGTGTATGTTGATGATACGTCGAGCTGCTTCGATATGGTTATTGGATATGGCTGAAGGAATCATTATTCAGAAAATTTCTTCGATATTTTGCCTCTTTTATTTTTTTTTTTTTACCTTTGCTGCCGTAAGTTTTTCATCAAGCATTTGGTTATCGAAGAGAGAAACGCTATGTGTGTGTGTGTGTATGTGTGTATGGTATCCCGGTGTTAGTTGAAACTTTTTGGATATACATATGTAGCTGCTCTCAGGTGCATTCACACATGAGCGCCTGCCCTAGCTGCATAAGCTCGGAAATTAGAGTAATGCACACACACACAGCGAGGGCGGGAGGCGTGTCAGCCAGACTTGAGACACGGTAAATGCAATTATAAAGCGCTCACAGGCAAAAGGAAAAATACTTTGTACGGTTTTTCTTTTTTCCTGTTTTTTGGTAATAAGCACTCGGCAATTTGTTAAATGAAATAAGTCACAGAACTGCAGCTAGAATTCTAGCCCACACGCCACGCCCCCTTGCCAACTGAAACGGTTATAAAGTCTAGTTTGGTAAAGGAATGAGCCTACGGCAGTGTAAGAGAGAGAGTTTGACTATATTTATGTATTTGATGCTCATAATTCGTTCACTTTGTGCATTTTATTAATAAAGTTTGCCAACTGGAAAAAGTCCGAGTTCGCTTGTCTGCCGCACGAAGAACAAGATATAAATACAGATTTATATAAGTATATGTATGTGTATGTGTGTAGAGTATATTAGCTGTATAAGTATGTACATGCTGCATATGCAGATTGGTATTTAACTCAAAGTTTTTTGGTTACTTTTAAGCTGCGGTTCGAGCACATAAAAAAACTTGTTCTTAGGTTAAAACTTTTTTATTTTCTTTCTCACGTTCGCCCTCGTCTCTCTCTCTCTCGCCGTCCCACACCTTTGCTAATATTTAAAGTTTGGACCATCTTTTAAATTGTTGCTTATTGAAACATTTTGCTTCATTGATTATTTTATGTCTTTTACCACTCAAATTTTATATCAGTTTTCTTAACTTTCTGTTTAAAAACTTTGCCCAACAGTTAACAGAATCTTGGCTAAAAACTTTATGCGAAATTGTAATATTTATTGAAGTTCAATTGAATGTTAAGTTCAGTGCTGTAACGTTACAGAGAAAGGTAGAAAACTTAACATAGATATGAACTGTTAAGCAATGCATATTTATATACTCGTACATCAATGCAAATCAGCTTAACAGAAGTAAGCAATAATGAAAGGCTTAACATAACATAACACTGTTAGGCCATAATATGAGTAGCTTAACAGAATAAAGCATTAACGAATGATGGCTTATCATAACATAGAACTGTTAGGCCATAATATAATTGGAAGAGTTGCCAAGGTTAGGTTACGCATTTAAAACTCTACTCAGCGGCATTACGAATGTTGGCATATGTTAACTCTGTTAACTTCATAGCTTAGATTTAAAGACACCTAAAAACCCTTAGAATCTTTTATAAATATGCAGTAAATTTTATTTAAACACTTGAGCTCCCAAACAACTAAAACTATTCAATCGAAATGTCATTTCAGTAATCCTTTTACAGCCGCTTAACAACCAATTAACACTCAGTTCTTATCTTGGTCACCGCCATTCTGGCCATCTTGGGGTGGTGGACCATGTCCGTGTCCCTGTCCCTGTCCATGGCCCTGTCCCTGTCCCTGGCCCTGTTGACCGTGCTGTCCGGCATTTTGTTTAAGAAAGCCAGAGTTCATAATCTGGCCAAAATGCTTGGACGGCATTTGTGGCATCTGCGGCATTTGCGGCATCGTAGCCTATAAAACGGAAGCAAAACTAATTTTATGGAACACACAATTTCAATTTTCTAGCCGCCCACTCACCAAAGCAACGGCCAGCATCAGAAAGAAAACAGCGAATAATGCGAACTGCTTCATTTTGGTTTTGATTTGATTTTGTTACTGATTTCTCACAGCATTCGCATTGCCTTTTTATACACCTGTTTCGCACACCTGATTTATCTCCGGAGAACAATCAGCGTGAGCACATTTTGTTCATACTAATTGATTTGAAATTTCGCTTTTAATTACCAAATAGCACGTCAGCTGCACAAAGCGCATAATCTGTGTGGCCCGGGCCACAAAGCAATTAATTTATAGACAAACGTGAAATCGCAATAATTATTTCCGAGTGCAACATTTAATAATAATCTTTCAAAGTCAAAGTCTGAATAGGAGATGAAAATTGCATATGAAAGAACTATGGAAACAATTATAGAGTAAGCCATTCAAAAGCGAAAAATAATTTACTTTATTTACTCTGTGACAAATCAACGAGATATAGTTTATAGAAATAATTGCCCTTTGCAAATAAACAAATTATTTGTACAAATCTGAAAATCTACTTTGAGAATTGTTTTAGAATTTTTCGAGGGTAGTCTAAGATATTTACAAAAATATTAGCATTTTTTTATTATTAATTTATTATTTATTTTAATTTTTCTTTAAACCAATTTATAAGATTTCTTATATTTATGCTCACATTTTTTGGTTGTTTTTATGATTTAGCCAAACAAAAAATTTTTTTAATAAAATAAAATAATATGCGCATTTGTTTTTAACAAACTAAGGTTTTATTATTATTTTTTTATTGTTTATTTTTTATTATTTTCACTTTTTATAACTTTTCTATTTATAATTCAAGCATTTTATTTGTTAACAATCAAATATTATTTTTTTTTTTTTCACATCAAACTTCTGTCATCTCATTTTTATTTAGCTCCACTTTTGCCTTCTTCTGTTATTTGTCAAGAATGTTTGTTTAGAAAAAGGAAAACAAAGTGAAAATGCAAAACTTGTTATATTTTTCCAACAGTAAATAATTTTTTTTTTTTGCATAATTTTTAGAGCGACAAGCTCATAAATTTGTGCTAACAACCCATAAGGGAAGGAAAAAACAAGCCAGACACACTCACACACATGAACGCACACACACGCACACGCACACAAAATACACAATTTATGAGTCATAAATTGTGGGAATACAAATATTAGTTCTAAAATTGTGCTGCAACTATACGATATATATATACGATATATACGACATCTTTCTTAAAGGCGCGCTCTGACATTTACGGTCCACTTGCATTGAATTGGCGGGGGCGGGGCGGGGCTGCTGCCTATGCTGCCACCTGACATTTGCCACAAATGTCACCTGCGGCTGTTTCGTGGCAATTTCGCTTAGGCGCCACAGTGCCACAAAATACCTTCAATTTGAGATTAAATTTTCTTCGCTTTTTTTTCTATTTGCTGGCAAAACAAACAATTTTCTAGTTTGCGATTGGCAACAAAAGGTAGCGCGACAGCGACATGTGCCACGCCCACATGGACCACAACTAGGCAGACACACACACACACGCACGCACACTGAGACAGCCATCCCTTCCACTCCACGTGGCAAACATGTGTGTGTGTGTGTGTGTGTGTTGGGCTTTTTCTTTTAAGGTAATAAATTTTCCTTTTTCGCTTAGAAATATGAATATTGAATATATGCCTAGAGTCGACCGTTCGCATAATAAACCGCAGGGCAATGCCAGCCAATGAAATGGTAACAACGGGGCGACTGAAAGCCGCTGAGCGTAAAACTACTAAAAAACAACTACCTCATTTGAAATTCCTAGGTGAGAGAAACCGCAGGAGCACGTGTTTGCTGCACTGAGAGAAACTAATTGGGCAGTTCTTGTAGAGAATCAGCCAACAAAATACCTGATATATAATAAAATAGATTCAAGTCTAGTTAATATTTGGTGGCAGAAACTTGACAGTTATTGAATAAATAATATATAAGAAATAAGCCAAAATTAATTTTTAATATATATTTTTATCATTTAATTAATTTATAATACTTATGTATTTTGTTTTATTTAGTAAAAAAAATATAGGCTATTTTGTTAATTTAAAAATATAAAAAATATATCAAAAATTAAATTAATTTTTAATATTTACAATTTATAATGATTTGATTTCATTATTATTATTATCATACTTTATTTATATTATAAATGAAATATGAATTTTTAAAATTTATCTTTTTTTATTATTATTGTTATATTTCAAATTCAATTTTTAATTTTTAAAATTTACCATTATTTATTATTATTTTATTATTATAATTATATATATAATTACTATTTATAATTATATTATAAATGCAATAAATTATTATTTTTAACTTTTGAAATGTATCATTATTTATTATTAATTTTATATTTTATTTTAATTTAAATTAATATAAAATAATGATTTATAATATTTTACATTAAAATCTTACATTCAATTTATTTATTATTTCAATCCTTATTTATTATTTCCTTTTAATGTAAGCCAGCTTCTGTCTGTAATCGCCTCAGCTTGTACTACACAAATATTAACTATTGCAATATATAATTTCATAAACTGCTTAGAATTTGTCTGCCTTCGCTCAGT